AGCAACAGCGTCAGCTCTAACAGAGCGATGAGAGAAGACGTAGGGCTAGCAGGGAGCTGTGAGTACGGGGGAAGTTTTTCCTCCTCTGGGGCACGGCGGGGGGAGGACAGCGACACTGGAGCTACTCAGGGGGATGTGGTGCCATGTCCCGAAGCGGGGGTGTCGCTGAGGAGCGGGGCTGGCGGGGGGCGGTGCTCTCCCGCGCTGGGGGGGAGCCCGGCCTGGGGCTGCGCTCCTGAAGCGGTTGTTTCAGACCTGTGAGGCTCCCTCGCTCGCAGCTTAGTGCCCGTGGGAAAAGGCAGGGAGCCTCACCATTTTTTAGAAGTAGCCCTATAGCCCTCCTCAGTTGTGGTCTCTATTATGTATGTAGAAAGGCTGCTGGACTCAAGCGGGAGTTGTGTTCCTGTGCCCGAGGGCGGGAAAAAACGGGGAGTGTAGGCGTTCCTTCATGGGGCAAACGCTACCTTTCCTCCCTGCCCCCTCCAGCCGTGTAAGTTATTGTCAGATCTGACGGAGCTGAAGGAAAACTTGGAAAGCACTTTTAAAATATGTTGAGGGCAAGACATGGTGGTTTTGATTTTTCTGTGTTGCAATAGGACTTACAGGTCTGAGAGATGTTTCTTCCCTCAGATCATAGCAGGATGTGGTGATCTCGTTTCCTAATATCTTCCATATCATCTCTCTTTTTTTTTGCTTTCCACCTCCTAAAACTCACAACACTGCAATAGATGATGTCTGAAAGATGATATGTGTGTATACTCTGACCAAGTAATAAATGAGATTATTTTAGATGACAAGCCCAATAGAGTGCAAACATTTATCTTTAAGGAATCAATAGAGGAAGAACGTAGGCTGGAAATACTTTGTGATAGGCTAAGATAGGTGGGTGGTCTGTCTCTCCTCCTGGTTTGTTTTTTTTTTTTCCTTTTTTTTTTTTTTTCTTCCCTCTACCGGAGAAGTGGGGTAGGATTTTGTAAGAAAAGCATCATCTTGGCCACGGCCAAGACTCATGAAATTCTAAATCCATGTTGAAACAATTAAGTAAGTGTCATAATTTTTAAGATTTCACTAGAGACTGTCCCTTCTAGCCCCACTGGCTGAGAACTTTTGGAAATTTAAGTAATCCCTCCTCAGTTTTTCTACATTTGAATCATGTTGGGAGAACAGTAGTCTTCGAGTTATACAAGAATTTGGACCTAAAGCATGAGCTTTCATACTTAACTTTCGGTATTCATGCTCATTACTGTCTGGTCTTGCATAACGCTGCAAACCTGTATGCAGTTTTTTGTAGTAATTTGTCAGATACAGGTGGTGATAGCACCAGTTTTGTAAGTAGTGCAGTGTATAAGAAAGTTACGGTTTCTTTAACTTCAGTAACTATATCTAAAATTCTTGCGTATACCAATCTTGAAATTCTTATAGGTTAATCCTATAAAAATAAGGAAATTTTTCCTCTCTTTGTATGGGACGTTCTTTTTCTTATTTTTTAGGAACAAGAGATGCTGAAATGACCATAGCATAACCTTTCTTGGAAATAAAAACTGTTCTAAGTTGTTGAGGTTCAGCATGGCATGTGGATCTGTCCAGACGCAAATACAAATTTGTATATTTTTTGCTTTATTATGCTTTATTTTAGGAAATGCTGGACTCCTAAATACAATCACTTTTGTAGCAGTGTTGCTGTACAGTTTTGTCACATGTAATCGCTTTGGAAATGCTTTCCAAAGAAGTAATATGGAACTCTGTGAAGAAATCTGATATGCTTTTAGAAATAATGCTGGAACTGTTGACTGCAAGGAAAGTCATTTTGTTTAAGTGTTTGTGATTGACACTGGGGTAATATTCAAAAAGTAACTGTAACATACGTAACACATGATTTGCTGTTTGAAGTGTCCTCTCGGAGGAGCAGCATAAGATGGTTGTTCGTGATTATTAAAGGCATAGGTAGTTCTTATGTTACTAAGAGGGCAAAGAAATTGCCAAGCCAAATTCTAAATCTGTAATTATATTTTGCCTCCCTAAAACCAGGAGGCAGGTTTGTACTATTTCTATCTAAAAACACTCTTTTTCATAAAACCAGTTAATTTGTTTTTTTCTTTTCCTGTGGCCCAGGACAGAAAGAAAGCTGAATACTTAATTTCCATCACTTTGTAATGAAAATGAAACAACTAATTCTTCCTTTCACTCTTGAAAATTTCACCTTTCTAAGTTTTTGGGACTTTAGATTTATAGTAGCTTTATTTTGTCACTTGTCTTCAAGTCATGTCATGTTGCCAGTAAAAACTGGCTTTCATGTGCAGCCCTGCTATGTTTGTTTGCTTACAACTTAAATATGTCTGTGGTTTTGCTGCAGTCGGTAATGGATTACTACTGACAAGGGGGATTTTGTTTGTTTATTTGAGGGACAAGCATGTGTTGTTTTGTCTTTGTTTTTTAAATGAATGGATTTCTTTCACACTGAAAATAACGGGTAGATACCCATAGCAAATTTTCTTTAGCCAGTGGCGAATAGTGAAAAACAGTAATGTTTGTCTGTGCCTATTATTGTGCTAAGAGTTTTTGAAGCTTGATTTTGATAGATTACAAACATTGCGGAGTCGTGCTGATAAAATATGTGTTTAGCTCTTGACCTCTCTGAAATTTGCCAAAAAAAAAGTCATTTTTTATTTGTGAAGACTGACAACCACATTCTAAAAAGACGCCTAATGGTAGCATCTTCTTACTACCAAATTTGGATTGCTCATCTAGAGGTAAAGGTTTCTGTTTCGCTTTAATCTCCGTTGCTGTAGTGATATTGATACAGTGACATGTAATAATGACTGCAACAATGAACCTAGACCTGAGTGAAGTCATTGACTGAAGGCAGCACTAATTTAACAAATTACAAGAAAGTTTTGAGGGATTTGTGTGAATAACACAAAAAGAGCTGAGAACACTGAGGAGCTGGATTCCAGTTGATACGTATCTGTCATTAGAATTTTGCCATTGGTTACAATGGCTGCATGCCATGGACCTCAATATCACGAAGTATTATTCTCCGTTTCTGTGACCGACAGCATTGAAACTGTAACCTTATTGCTAATCTACAAGTGTAGATCAGTTCAGGCATTTCAGCAGTCATGACAAGGAAACATTTGTTCCACACGAAAGAAAAATGTGTTCAGGTGGTTGTAAACAGTGAAAGCTGGAAATAATACTTTATCCTAAATTTTAATGATGAAAAAATAGAAGACTGAAAGCAAGATTGACTTGTTGGAAACTAAACTTCCATTAACCCTTTTTATTCCTTTTGGACAAGGCCATAAGGAGACTTGTTTATGATAGAAGATTTTACTGGTAGAAGAAAGGCATATCTTTAGCAGCAGTTTTGGTTAGGATAGAATTAACAGATACTTCATGGAATGTCTGTGGGTTTTACTGTGTCACTTTTGTCCTCTCATGCAGGTCTTTAGTAACATGACTGTTAATTTCCCAGTGCTTTCCTAGATGTTATTGGTTTCACTAAGGATTTACATCACCTGCAGAGTGTAACAATGGCG